AGCCGCCTCCTGCACATCTCCCACTGGGGATGTGCCCGCAACCCAGGTACACGCCCTTGACCGGAATCGAACCTGGGACCTTTTAGTCCACAGGCCAACGCTCTATCCACTGAGCCAAACCCGTTTCGGCCAATGAAATATATTTAAAAAAAAAAAAAAGAAAGAAATAGGCTCAGAGAGGTTAAATGATTTGCTTAAGAGTATTAAGCTAGTCACTCAGAGAACTGAACTCAAACCCATGCCTTCTGATTCAAAATCCCATGTTTCTACCAAGCTATGCTGCCTCTGCCTAGAAAGTTATGTTTCACATTGACCTTAACTGTTGTATTTTGTGGACTTAAACAATGATTCACAAATGTGGAATCACAATTCTCATGGAGTGTCATAAAATCCCAGCTGTTAAGAGTTTGCCTTTGAAAGCTCTCTCTCAGACATCACTGCCAAGTTATTTTATTTTTGACAGAACTGTGGGTTTCCTTGGAGGAACACCAGGATGCTTTGGAACTCATCATGAGCAAATACCGGAAACAGATGCTACAATTAATGGTTGCTAAAAAAGCAGTGGATGCTGAACCAGTCCTGAAAGCTCACCAAACTCACTCTGCAGTAAGAAAGTTTGATAAATTCTAAATGAACTGAATTGAAATCTTGAAATTGTGTTACCTTGTGTGCCTGTTTTTGAAGAAGAGTAAGCTTTTTTTCCTTTCGTATTTATCACATTCACTGTTGGTTCTGCCGTAGCTTTGTAAAGATTTGAATAAAAAGAAGGATAAGGGACCTTCAGGTCCTTTCATTTGAATAGGACCAAGGATCCTTTCTCCCTCACCAGTATCTTCCCAAGATGCTAATGAATGCTTAGTTCTTCCACCAAACATAATGCTAGTTAGTGTCAAAGAGGCTCAGTAAATACCTAATTGGTTATGATTGTACATTTTACTAACGTGTAAGCTTCTTGGTTATAAGAAGCATAAATTCATCTTTTATCCCTAACATAGTACCTGGCACATAGCAGGCTTTTAGGAAACTTTTATTAAACTGAACCACATAACATCATGCTCATTAGGAAACAAAAGTATGGTTTAAAAATACATATACAGCCCTAGCTGGTTTGGCTCCGTGGATAGAGCGTTGGCCTGCGGACTGAAGGGTCCCAGGTTCAATTCCGGTCAAGGGCATATATGTTGGTTGTGGGCACATCCCCAGTAGGGAGTGTGCAGGAGGCAACTGAATTGATGTTTCTCTCTCATCAATGTTTCTAACTATCCCTCTCCCTTTCTCTGTAAAAAATCAATAAAATACATTTTAAAAATAAATAAATAAAAATACATATACAGGGCATCATTTCTACACTTTGGTTGATTATGATTGAACTTGAGAGACCCAGTAATTGTTCTTATGTCTGTAGAGTGCTTTATGGTTGTCCTTGTACATGCACATGTACTGTATCATTTAATCATGAATTAATAGATTAGTGCCTCACTATTTGCTGCAGTGAAATTTAGGAAAAGTTTCATCCTAGATTCCACTGAAAGCATTTTACTGACTTAAGAATTAAGTCTTAGGGAACAGCGATGCTTTAAATATGTGAATGGCTTTCATATGGAAGATAAAGATAAATTTTATTTTCCTTAGACTACAGGAGAAAATTTGAACCTTGAAGGAAACAGATTTTAGTTCATATGAAAAACTTGTTAAAAGATAAGAACAGCACTGGCTGGTGTGGCTCGGTTGGGTGAGGTCACATGCACCAAAAGGTTGCTGGTTTGATTCCCAGTCAGAGTACGTGCCAGGGTTTCAGGGTCCATCCCCAGCGGGGGAGTATGCAGGAGGCAGCCGACCGATGTTTTGCTCTCACATTGATGTTTCTCTCTCCTTCTCCCTTCCTCTCTCTCTGAAAATCAGTAAAAATAAAAAAAGGTAAGTCCAAAGATGGAATAAGGTACCTTTGAATCTGTTGACCTTCTTGCCAATAAAAGTATTCAAGTTTAAGTTAAGAAGCCCCTTAGAGATGCTGTCCAACATCCAGCGGGTGGTTAGACTAGAATCGATCTTTTGAAAACAAATTATTTGTGAATACCACAGGATAACTTTATTATGGTTCTACCTCTGAGGACTCAGATTATGGTGAATTGGCTGTGTAACCTCTGTAGCATAGATTAAATTTTTAACATCATAATGGCCATATTCTCATGAACTTCTTATCTATAGAAAAGATGACTTTTTCACCTTTTTTGTGTTATCTTCACAGGAAATTGAGAGTCAGATTGACAGAATCTGTGAAATGGGAGAAGTGATGAGGAAAGCAGTTCAGGTGGATGATGACCAATTTTGTAAGATTCAGGAAAAACTAGCCCAATTAGAGGTAAGATTGTTGCTATTTTAGGTTCACAGTATTTCAGCAAGTTTTCATAGAGTCTGGAAGAATGCCATCGCCATCCTGTCACTGCAGTGTATTGAAGTTTTCTGTGTGCTTCTCCTGATTTAAAATTAAAACTCCTACCCGAAACCTGTTTGGCTCAGTGGATAGAGCGTCAGCCTGCGGACTGAAAGGTCCCAGGTTCAATTCCGGTCAAGGGCATGTACCTGGGTTGCGCGCACTTCCCCAGTGGGGGATGTGCAGGAGGCAGCTGATCGATGTTTCTCTCTCATCGATGTTTCTAACTCTCTATCTCTCTCCTTTCCTCTCTGTAAAAATTCAATAAAAATATATTTAAAAAAAAAAACAACTCCTCCATACCCTTTTCATAAAAGGAAATGTAGTCAGCAGCAAGCAGTGAAAATGCCAATTATGTACTGGCTAGAAACTGAGATGTTATCATATCCAGAGGGCAGAGAGTGTGGAAAGGACAGATTACCTGTGATTTAAAATCCCTCATCTGCCTTTAAAGGAAGTCAAATAGTTAATGTCTAAAGTTGATGATAAGGAAATAGCAGTACAGGCATATTATTTAAAACTAGAGGTCGGGTGCACAAAATTTGTGTACTCAAGGAGGTGGGGTCCCTCAGCCCAGCCTGTGCCCTCTCACAGTCCGGGGGCCCTTGGGGCATGTCTGACTGATGGCTTAGGCCCGTTTGGACATCCTTAGCACTGCTATGGAGGCAGGAGAGGCTCCCACCTCCACCGCTGTGCTTGCCAGCAGTGAGCCTGGCTCAGGGCTTCTGGCCAAGTGGTGCTCCTCCTATGGGACCACACTGATCATCAGGGGGCAGCTCCTGTGTTTACCATCTGCCCCCTGGTGGCCAGTGCATGTCATAGCGACTGGTCATTCTGCTGTTTGGTCGATTTGCATATTAGCTTTTTATTATTTAGGGTGATTATAGAAGTAAATACTAGAGAAACAGATAAAAGTATTAAAAGTGGTTGCCTTCGGGGAACAAAGCCAAGGGATAACTGTTTACTTTATAAGCCTTATAATCTTGATTTTTTAAAAGCTATTTTCATAAAATATTTTGATTAAAATTGAAATACTCTACAAAGAAAGGCCTGGGGTGTTAGTATGCCCATAAAATTGTTAAGGAAAAACATAGATGGTTTGAATGCTGCTAATTACTAGGTGCTATCATGAGCCCTTTGAGAAATAACAGAAAAAGAAAGCTAGGATCCCTACTCGGAGTCTAGTAAAAGGAACAAAACTGGTACAGCAGGTCCTTGAATAACTTCATTTTCTTCAATGTCATTTCATTACAACATTGATGAGATGCCATAGGCACTTAACTCTTGTTTATATCATTTAGCCTATGGTAAAATTGGTTTCTTTATACATTGTTTTGCTTAAAGTCGCAGTACCTATTGATAACTTTAATGAAGACTTATTGTACTTATTGTACTTAAATGAAGACTTATTGTACTTATGTGAAAGTATTATTAGGAATTTGAAAGATAGAAGATACAGTAGCAAAACTTGGGGAACCAAAAAGAGTATTACAAGCAGTAATTTCCTTATATATACATATGTATATATATATCTTATAATTGGGCATATATAATATGCTAAGTGTCTGACCATTGGGTCGACCGTTCGGTCAACTGCTCAATCAGTTGCTATGATGTGCACTGACCATCAGGGGGCAGATGCTCCAACCGGTAGGTTAGCTTGCTGCTGGGGTCCGGCCTATCGGGACTGGGTGAAATGGACCAGACATGCCCTGGAGTCCTCCCACGGTCCCTCCCTGGTCAGCCAGCCTCCAACGGTCCCTCCCTGGTCAGCCAGCCTCCAACAGTCCCTCCCGGGCTGGATTGTGAGAGGGCGCAGGCCAGACCAAGGGACCCCACCGGTGCACGAGTCTGTGCACCTGTCCTCTAGTAAGATATGACATGGTAAATAAATGCCAGGAGAGAGACAAAGTACAAGGGGAAGCACTTGATATGGTAGAAGATTTAATGACCATAGATCAGTGATGGTGAACCTATGACACGCGTCTCAGAGGTGACATGCGAACTCATTTTTTTGGTTCATTTTTCTTTGTTAAATGGCATTTAAATATATAAAATAAATATCAAAAATATAAGTCTTTGTTTTACTATGGTTGCAAATATAAAAAAATTTCTGTATGTGACACGGCACCAGAGTTAAGTTAGGGTTTTCCAAAATGCTGGCACGCCGAGCTCAAAAGGTTCACCATCACTGCCATAGGTTCTCATTCTTGCCTGAAAACACTATGGCTTACCAGAATTTCCTGCAGAGAGAATAAGGATGAAGAGTGCTAACGGCCCTATCTGGAAATCAAAGGGATTGACAAGGTTCCAAGTAGGAATTAGGAGTTAGTTCAAAGGATAGAACAACCTTGTCTACATTCTCCTTAGTTATGGAAAGAGCCCTCAGGAAACATGAGACAAATTTTACTTAATATTTTAAGTGGAAAAAACATGGGCATTAGATGGAGATCTCAGCAATACCACATCCAAGTTATCTGAGTTTGGACAAGTTTATGGAGTTTTGTGAGCCACATTGTCCTCATTTTAAAGAGAATATGGGTATAGGCCAGTGATGGCGAACCTTTTGAGCTCAGCGTGTCAGCATTTTGAAAAACCCTAACTTAACTCTGGTGCCGTGTCACATACAGAAATTTTTGATATTTGCAACCATAGTAAAACAAAGACTTATATTTTTGATATTTATTTTATATATTTAAATGCCATTTAACAAAGAAAAATCAACCAAAAAAATGAGTTTGCGAGTCACCTCTGACACGCGTGTCATAGGTTCGCCATCACTGGTATAGGCGATGGTACCTACCCTACAGATGGTTGTGAGATAATACATGTAAGACAAACACGTGGTACCTGGTTATGTGGCTAATTAGTTTCTTCTCCTTTCCTTTAGGACATACAGGAGAGAAGATTGAGTGAAGTGAAAGTATTATTAGGAATTTGAAAGATAGAAGATACAGTAGCAAAACTTAGGGAACCAAAAAGAGTATTACAAGCAATAAATTCCTCTAGTGGAGAGTTGTGTTTTTTTTGGTAGTCCTAACAAAGTAGCATATAAAAATGGCTCAGTAAATGTTTGTTCAGTTAATAAATAAGTAGTATTTTAGGAAACTCAGTGCTTTCCTTAAAACTTTAAAAAGTAAAATAATATGCTTTCTGTTCCTGACCCGAAACAATGTGTTCTGATGCAATTAAACAGTCAAAATACCTGAAATAAACATACCTTTTTTTTTTTCAGCTTGAAAATAAGGAACTTCGAGAATTATTGTCCATCAGCAGTGAGTCGCTTCAGGTCAGAAAGGAAAACTCAATGGACACTGCTTCCCAAGCCATCAAATAACTTCAGCTTCTGAATGACAGCTGGAGATGGTTTATCAAGGAAGGAAGTTACTATCTTTCTACTTGAGTATTGTCCTTTCAGTGTCTTGCCTCGGACTTGATTTAATAATGTTGATTAAAGGAATCAGATGGCAGTTTAGAATTAG